TTATTTTTTTGAGGTTAGAAACTTATTTTTTTGAGGTTAGGAAATTATTTTTTGAGGTTAGAAAATTTTTTTTTGAGGTTAAAAATTTTTTTTTATTGAGGTTAGAAATCTATTTTTTTTTTGAGGTTTAAAAATTTTTCTTTTACGGTTAGAAAATTATTTGTTTAGGTTAGAAAATTAGAGAAAAGAGCTGTTATTATAACTGCTATAATAACGGAACTAAAAAATATATTACCTGCTTTATCATTGAATGTTTGAAAGAAGGCGTAATTCTCACGCCACACCTTAATGCCAATCTTCACAGGTTTCGTCAGCTCTTCCATGGGCGCAATTTGGGGGAAATGTGCGAAGTTTTCCGACAAGAAATTCCAACAAGCCTTGCAGATATGCACTGTAAGGTAGAAAAAAACAGGTTTCTAAAGAGAATTTATCTTTGAAGATTTGTAGTAATCGCGCAGCTTCTGGCAATAAAAAGTTGACATTAAAATCACCCGCAAAAATTACCAGCTGTTCACAATATTCTACGCGTTCTTCAATAAGAGTGGCCAGAGCTTGTGAACACAAATTCTATAATAACAACAAAGCTTTTCCGATGAATAATTTGATATCTCTCTTTAAAGCATTTGGTGAAAAATAAATAGCTAATAAAATTAATTTCTTACTATTGTTATCGTTGGCGGTGATTTAGCACTCTACGGCACATAAGTACCCAATTCTTGCTGATGTTGATACCGTGACCACGGCCACACTTGAGTAAGGAGCTTTTATTCGCAAATGAGGAGTAACAACATAACTCATCAACAACGTCCTCTTCATTACGATAGATGGCAATAACTGAATTTCGAATTTCGTTACGTTAAAAACTCGCAATTAATTCTAAATTTGTTACTTGTACATGATCATAAATAAACGCTTCTGATAACAGAAAATTGATCGCATTTTGGAAGACTCGATCGGTAAAATCATTGGCGTGTGCACGCAGACTTTGACAATTAAATACTATTATCGAAATGTCTTTTTTCGAGTTAATTAAGTCGAATACTTGTTAATCTAATGTGAAAATTGGATTTTCCCGCAATTTGATCATCTCATTTCGCAAAGCAAAGCACGAGCGATCGTTACTACCGTAGCCATGGAAAAAAAGTTTTTAAGTTTGTTAACTGTAATGATATGCAAGCCTTTAAGGTAAACAGCTCTGGGCATGGCAACGTATACTAACTGTTGAGATACAACTTTTTCATAGTAGTAAACTACTTCACTGAATGTACCCCTTGCGATTTGTAACTCCTCAATCCACAAGCTGATGCGAGTGAAAAGTGGTTCCTTTTAGCTGAAATACGTTTTTGTCTATTAAGTTAGATGGTTGCATTACGACGACCAGTAGGAACAGCTGAAGGATTAATATTGTTTTCTGTGACGAATGCACTTGCCTCCATATTAGCTTTTATCCTAGTTATATCTTAATGGGAAATAACAACGATAACCGCGTAACCTCTCCATTATAATTTCTTGCTGGTATTGTGGCTATTTCCATTAACATTCTCAGTTGAACCTTCGTTAGTAGTCGCAAATTTTGCAACTCTTCGAGATTTAAGTTCAGCTTTTTTCCTTTCTCTATATTCTCGTTGATATTGTGCTGCGGATTTCCTCCTGAGTGGAGTTTTAAAACCGATCTCCCCTGTTGAAGTTAATGGTACAGCATCTGTCGCATCAATGTATGTAGCGTCACGTTTCGCCTTTTTCCGCACTCGATACTCCTTCTGATATTCCGCAGCAGATTTTCTCTTTATTGATGGCTTTATAGTGGGCGTATTTGACAACTCTATTTTAATCTCTGCTCGCTTTCGTGTTCTATAATCACGATAATATTGTGCTGTTTTCCCTCGGGATCTTCCGGAACCACTGGAGGCACTAGGGATCGCTACCTCATCTCTCCCTATGAAATTTATTTAAAATTATTGCAAATAGGTTCTCCGCGAAATTGCAAATATAAACACGTAACAAACAATCACCGAATCAACAGTGACGTACCTTCACATAACCTCGACTCCACTGTGTCCACTGTAGCCTCCTTTTCACTCATTTTAATTATATTCAAAGCACAAAATCACCACACACTATTATTACACTCCGAAATATTTCGTATGAAATATCAAATTAAGATTTGAAATTAAGAAACTGATCCTAAAATTGAATTTATTATAAAAATCAACACAATTAAAACACACGCATTGAAAACCATATGATGCTTCAATCACTAAAGCAACAACACTTGCTGCCTAGCACACACTCTCTCTCCCTCTCTTTCTCTTTCACTTTCTCCTTCCATTACCAGTGGCGTTAAACGTTTAACGCAACCGTGCCGTTGCTCACTAGTGAATGCGTCATACACCCTAACCAATGTCGCGTTAAACGTTTAACGCTACCATTCCCGAACTCCCATTAGAAGTTTCACTTCAATTAATTACGTTTGACTTAAGACTTCGTATTTAAGGAGTAGTTCCACCAAACTCCGTCGTAACTTACCAGGCAAATTGAAGCGCTTAGCCAAGTACTGCCAACACATATTGACCTGCTGCGGTTTATTGTAGTCCTTCTTATGCAAATATGGTATGGAGAGCACCTCTCGGATCAACAGCGCCGTCGTGCTCATTGGTAGTGAGTACTTTTGCTCCAGCGGCGGCCCATGCACCACCAACTGATTGCCATTCACCGAACTAATCAATTCGATCATAATTTCGTTGGCGTTTAGCTGTGAGGTTGGTGTCAAATATGGACGCGCCAACACGGTGGCGGGTATTTTCGCCTCGAGCGACGATGCCTCCGTTATGGGTCGCGGCATATTTGCTGGCGTCAACGTGGGCGCAGGCACCACAGCATTTGGCAGCGTTATTATCGTATTGCTGACTGTATCGGTGCTGACACTACTCAATGGCGGACACTTGGTAATATTTGTTTTATCTGGCAATGAAAACGGTAAATTGAAAGCGCTCGACGTCGGCGTCATAACCACTGTTGGCGGCGCAAGCGCATTTAAGGCGGGTGCTACTGCGCGCAGCGGTAATGGCGCGGTGCTGGTGTGCGGGGCAGGTGCTACTGCGCGTAGCGGTAATGGTGCGGTGCTGGTATGCGGGGCAGTTGCTACTGCGCATAGTGGTAATGGTGCGGTGCTGGTATGCGGGGCAGGTGCTACTGCGCATAGTGGTAATGGTGCGGTGTTGGTGTGTGGGGCGGGCGGTGATGCGCTGGTGGAAGCACCTGCGACAGCGGTAATTTGTAAACCCTTATTGATGAAGGGTACAGGGAAGGTGGCGCGCGGTGCCAAACTGACCGCCGACACAATTTTCGGTGTCTTTATCGTATCCAAACTTATTGTGGTAGTTTCGTGGATTGTCGGCTCTATTGCTGTTGGCGGCAGCAACTGACCCATATTGGTAGGTATGAATTGTGCTGGCGCCTGCTGATTTGCTTGTTGCTTCGTCGCCAACTTGGGTTGCGCTTGTATTGGCGTGAGTGGTAGCATTTGATATTGCTGTGCTTGTTGTAAATGTGGCATGCGCGGCAGCGTTATGGTTTGTACTTGTATGGGTTGGTTTGGCGTCGGTGCGGCGGTGGGTTGTGCGTGTATTTGTATCTGTGGACGCGCTTGCACAAGCATTTTTATGGGTTCGGCTTGTAGTTGCGCCTGCGATTTGACGCGTATTTGTGGCGAACGCGCTTGTGGATAAGCCGTTTGTGCATCCTGTTGTATGACGGCGTTTGTATGCGTTTTCGGCGGCACTTTGGTCACTGTCACAACCAAGCCGGTATTTGAGACGGTGGTGCAAGTGGAGCCAGAGGAAATGTCCAAGGCGCTGTTATGCGGTTTATTGCGTATTACGATATTTTTACCTGACGTTTGACTCTTAGTTTCGATTATTGAAGAGCTGATTTTGTCTTCATCCAAACTGACCGATATCGGTACGATAGCGCTCGGCGTTAGCGTGTCATCAAGCGGGGGCGTACTGTTGTGCATGGGCACAACTTCGGTTTGCTTAACATTATTTGCATTGTCAGTGGTTGAGAATGGAGGTTTGGTCATCTCATCGACGCATATGGACGATATCATGAGCGTACCGAGTGTAGGCTTTTTAGCGCGTGGCAACTTATACGTTTTGGACAAGGCATATAGCTCCGTTATAATTGTTTCGAAATACCATTTGTCTTGCAGTTGATAACTGTGTTTGCGCATGCCCATTAGCTCCCAGTAAAACAAACGCAGGATGAGCCAAGTGGTCTCGCACTGACCAGGTGTAACAGTGCCACCTGAAGTAATTAAGGAAATTAGCAAAAAATATTGAAGATTCGGGTGAACAACTTAAAATTAATAAAGCCTAACCTTTAGTATTTGCCACATCGGTCCAAAGTTGCGTATATTTAGCAGTATCGACGTCTTCGGTTTTGTTGACCATCATTTCGGTAAGCGTAATCACTATTGGATATTTCTTCATTGCCACCAGCAAGCTGAAGATGTTTTTAAAGTGATCAATGGGCTCATGCCAATCCATTTTGAGAAAGTATGAACTTTTGTAAACCGTTCTTGGCCTAAAAGTTAAAAAATAATATTAGTTGTGCGATTTAAATAAAAAAAAAAATTTGCAATGCAAACCCTACATTCTAAGTATGTGTGCCTTTGTGAAATGCAAAAGACTCTCCAGTTCAGTTTGCGGCTTTGTAGCTGATAACTCCTTTTCTAAGCGGCGTTGCATAAGCTCCCATTCGTAGCGCGTTTGTATATGTATCCAACATTTCATTAATTTCGTAGCTAAAATAAAGGAAAAAGCGCTTAAATAAATTTTCGAAAATGCCCTACAGCACGAAAGCCATACATACCCTTATCGCCCACTTCGTTCGCGATGGCATTCCAAATAATGCCTTTGCGCCGATAATCCTCATAATACCGATGGAAGCTATCGAATATCTCCTGATAGCATTGCAAATTGTAAATCAAGCGACGTATTTCCGGCGTGACTTGGAAGTGTACCTTACATAGCTTAGCAAATACTTTTGTTAAGGACGGCGTTTCATCGTCCAAGTCGATCACCTCAACGTCATCCTCCAGCAAAACTATATCATCATCGACGGCAGCTGGTTGTACGGGCGTTGCTTCTTGCACCTCCATCTCATCGCTGTAGGGCAGGGGACAGCGTATTCTATAATTAAAAAAAAAAAGGGTATCGCATTTTTGTTTGCCTCTTTGTAAAACTCTCCACTCACTTGTCGACAATGAAACGCCAGAGGAAAACTAATTCCGTTTCAAATGCCATAATAGGTCGGCGTCTCCGCTTCTTGCACGCTTTGTTGGCAAAGAATTTACGCAATCGGCGCACATATTTCTGATAAGAATAACGCAAGTTCACCCAAGCATTCTTGCAGAGATCAGCTGGAATACAAATACACAGGCAAAAATGAGCTTATTTGCAATCAAATTGCTTCTAGACATATCTCTTCTTATATATGTAAACATATACATGACATATATATCTTTATACATACAAGTATATGCATGTATATATGCATCTATGTACATACCATCGCAACCCATTCGCTTTGCAATTTTGGCCCAAACTTCGTTTTTCGCTTCGGCACATGAGAATTGTTTATGTTTTGGATCGTAAAGTACGCGCTGCCGTCGTACATGCCGTATGAGACGCTTATAGAACCTCCCATTTTGCTTATTGGAATCTTTGGACTCGTCATCTTCCACTATGAACATGTCATACACTTCTATGGGATCGGATATTGCCACAGTATCGCAAGGCGTAATACTCACGCCCTAAAATGTGAAGGGTAAAGAAACAGAGTTTATTGGAATAGTTGTTCAAAATATATACCACTGTACATGTAAATGTACAGTGGCGAGCAGAATTGAGTGCATGTTTACAAAACTGACTTTCATCACCCATAAAAACAAAACCACACAAGCAAATCCAATTTTTTTTTTGTTTTATTTAATTTGTAACAAATTCTAGTAAAGAAACAATGACTAATGAGAAAAATTCAAAGAGATTGAAAGAAAAAACGAAAGAAACTCGCATAAACTCAATTTTGCACGTTTAAAAAAAGTTCAATAACTAAATAGATTTCAATATTTTGTCCATAGACCCTTATTGGAAATGACTTCTTTTACGCGGTCTGGCATGCTCTCTACCAAATTTTCAATAATATCTTTCGGAATACGACTCCATTCTGCTGTTACACGATCCCAAAGGTTGCCCATGTTTGTTGGAGCTGTTTCGTACTGCCCGATCCGTCTTTTCACTATTGACCAAAGATTTTCAATCGGATTGAGGTCGGGACTTTGTGCTAGCCACTCCATCAATTTAAAATGTTGTTTTCCAATCCATTCCTTTACAAGTTTTGCTGTGTGCTTCGGATCCCCATCGTGTTGAAAAAAAATTTCTTGTTCGGGATAAGCACATTTCTCAATAAAATTGGGAAGATTGGTTTGCAGAATTTGAAGATAGTCCTCTTTTCGCATGATACCATCTACTAAACGAAGAGGACCAACATGCCACCATGTAAAGCATCCCCAAACCATAATATTTCCACCGCCATGTTTAACAGTTTGTTTTACGTGGTGTCTTTGTATACGTTCTCCGGGTCTACGCCAGCAGTATTGCTTTCCGTTTGACTGAAAACGGTTAAATTTGGACTCATCAGACCAGACAACACGTTTCCAATCATCAATGGTCCAATTTTGATGCTCCCTTGCAAATTTCAAACGCGCTTTAATATTCTTATCGGACAATGCAGGTTTGTTTTTTTTCACACTTGAAATATATCCGATGTCTCGTAGCGCTCTTCTAGCAGTCCATTCACTAACTTTTTTGTTAATGACCAGAGAAGCACCCTTTGGTGTCAGTAGCTTGTTTTTTCTCATCATTCTCAGTCCTTCAATAATTTTTTGCGACCTGCGACTTGCGGTTTGGGAGTCACATTTCGCCTCTTTTGAACTGCGATCACCGCCGATTGGCTAATACCAAGCCTCTTGGAAATTTTCCGCGTAGTCACAACATTATTTTCCATTTCTTCAGTTAATTTTCTCATTTTTTTTTAAATATCGACACATTATTTCTAATTTGAAACCAATTCACAAAAACTACTTTGCTTTGCCCGAAACACCGTTAAACTGCACTAAGAACATCAAAAATAGCATAAGAACAAATATAACGGTGAATCTGGCTGATTTATGCTGAGAAGAGAAGAGAGAGGGCAAAATACTTGGAAGTCATAACAAGTGCAAAATTGAGTTTATGCGAGTTTCTTTCGTTTTTTCTTTCAAACTCTTCGAATTTTTCTAATTAGTCATTGTTCTTTACTAGAATTTGTTACAAATTAAATAATAAAAATAAAACAAAAAAAATTTTGGATTTGCTTGTGTGGTTATGTTTTTATGGGTGATGAAAGTCAGTTTTGTAAACATGCACTCAATTCTGCTCGCCACTGTATATATTTTTTGCTAAATTTTACTTTAAAAGATGTACTGAATGCATATATTTTCCACACAATTATATTATTTATGATTTATTTACTCTTTTATTGGTAAATGACAACACTTTTAATATTTCTAGTAGCTCTGTAAACTTCTTTTTTGTAATACCCAGTAGGACTATTTTACATAGTTGCTGAGAAGAAAAGTTAAATTATTCAAATTTGAAAACGTAAATGGCAACCCTTCTATTTGGCTAAGCGAATTTTATACCGTTTAACAGAAAGTGATTGAGAGCAATCGATTTGACATTTATTCATATTTTTCCCTTTTTGCTTACATTCCGAGTATAGTAATCCGATCTAAACAATTTCTTTGACAAATTAGCATTAAAAAGGAACGTGTGCAAAAATTCGAAGTGATATCTCAAAAACTGGGGACTTGTTCGCGTATAGATAGACAGACGGACATGGCTCTATCGACTTAGCTCGTCATGCTAAGCATTCATTTTTTATAGTGTTTCTGACGTCGGGTCTTACAAATGTAGTGGCGAACTTAGTATACCCTGTTAAGGGTATAAAAAAAAACTCGATTATTTGAACAGAAATTTTGAGGTTGTGTGAGAAAGGCGTTAACCCAAAAGTTTAGATCTTTTTATTGCCTACAATTTTGCTATTTAACTTTTTTTCACAGGAATCCGAAAATTTAGATAAAAACTCAACCACGCCCCTTTCTTCCACTCTCCGACCTGCGGTCGCTGTTAAATATGTTATCATCACCTTTGTTATATTGTCTTCCTTTTCCAATAGCTTTCACTATAATATTATTTATTTACTTTTTACCATTTTCAGAGGCTTCAGCCCTGGTATATTCTATATTTATAAAATACAATTTCGGCTCCATTAAATAAACTATTTCAATTAAATCTGAATAAAAATCTGGGTCCAGTCCGGTTACATAGACCCGGCTGCCGTGGGAACGGTCTAATTAGTTCTCTCTCAGAGCGACGATAGCATTATTCACCTCTACTATCTTTCGCCGAAATTTTGAGTAATTCGTAACTCTCAGTATTGAGGGTCCTTTATAACCCGCTTTAGATTATTGAATGAGACCATTTTATGGATGTGACTCTTTACAAATTCATCCCAATTTTATTGGAATTGTCACTTGTTCGGATTAACCTTTTTTATATTTATATATTTGTATTTCTTTTTATCTCTCATTATCCTAATTATTTGGTCATACTTCATTTCCCTTACCTGTCATTTGAAAAATCTATTGAAATTATTCTTAAAACTTCTCCAAATTAACAAGTACAGCTGAGACACAAACCACCGGATCCCAAGATCCATGCCCAGTTATGTAAATAAACATTTCCGTGCTGATACATTTGACTCTTTCTAACAGCCAACAACAATTTTCCAATTTTCAGCAGTCAGTTGACAAGAGTTGCCAGTTGCGCTCACATAATGCGCAGGCAAATGCATTCCCCTGATATTTTGCTCCTACGCCCCCCTCACACTGTTAAAAGGCGCTCTCTTCATGTGTTCTTCTTTAACAGTCATTCGTACGCATAGCACACATTTGGCATAATAGAAAATTTTCATGCAAATTAAATACCGAAATTTAAGATTAATTTCACTTACATTTTCATCGCACATTCTTTGCAGATCAATGCGCCACAACTTCTTCCAAACGTTGCTTTTCTTTTATTAATTTATTTTCAATGTAATCAACGAAAATCATAAACACACTTCACAATATAAACTTACGATTTGCCTCGTCGAATACAGACTAAAGCGAAACAGAAACAACTCGGTGAAAAATGTGAGACGAACCACTGAGTAATGCCCGCCGTACGAACGAACGCCTATAAACACACATATACACACACATAAGTAAGCTTGGGTGCACAAACAAACGCACACATGAGCCGAGCACATGTTGAATATCCAGCAACGCTCTCTGTTTTGCCTAAAAACGTACGCAATGCTGAAAATAGCAAACGAACATTTTTCATGTTATTTACTCTGCTACTCTTCGCAAGGCGACTGTTAAATTCAACGGCATTCGGACAACAATGGCGAGGCATTGGCTACTGCTGTACCATGTCAGGCATTTAATCAGGTGCTCATGATTTGTGAGCACAGCGCCTATGCAGTTGATATGAAATACGAATAAGACTGATAAAGCATTTTGGTGCCCATGAGAATGCCGTTAAACCGACTTGAGAGAAAATTCAGGTGAACCCAGGAATATCTTTTTATTTATTATTTTAGAAAATCGTATGTGTAAATAGAAGCGCAAAATTCGAACAATTACAGTTGCATGTAAAGGAAAGAGACAGTAGAGAAGCGTATATGCGCACATAAATACAGCTGTGTTCATTAAAATAAGAGAGCATGGTAGAGATATGTAAATCTGACAGATATCGCTATATTTAGGTCAGATTATTTTCTCTATTTGGTTATTGCACGATCTTGAAATCATTTAAATTTTTTTTTTAATACAGCTTACTTTTTTTTAGATAAATAGTGATACGATCAAAAAAGGGTACGGATTCCGAAAAAAAAATTGATATAAATACTGCAATACAAACAAAGTAACGACAGAAAATTTGACGAAGCCATTTTTAAAATTGAACTCGTGGATCCAGAGCTCGCGAATTTGAAGTAAAAACTGATAATTTTACTTCAGCTAGGCTAATAAAATATGTAAGAGCAAGATGGACCTCAATCCTAACATACTTATGTATGTTAGAAGAGATAAACCGTGTGATCGCGAACCTTCTGAACAGAGTGTTAGCGGAAATAAGCTTTAAATACTGCAGTTTAGTGCGTCTCTTTCGACGATGTTCACACGAGGAGACTTTTTTGTAATCCAAACCGGTTTTTTGGGCGAGGGGACGACGAGGAAAGCCGAAGGGCTTTGAATTTTATTATCTTTTTTATATGTAATATGCATAACATAACATAAATGTTTCGAAAAAGCGTGAATAAGGATAAAATTAAGCTAATCACAAATATTTCCGTGCACCGCGTACATGAAGCGTTCAAAAATTTGCGAATGTGATATGAAAGCAAATGCATAAAATTGTTCAACTTAAGTTGTTGGACTCGTGTGAACGCAATGAGCAACACCAAAATAAAATTGGTCGATAAGGGGCGACAAAAGAGTCCTCGTCTGAACGCAGTCTTACTGGTTTCTCTTCGAAAAAGAAGAGAAATTAAGATTTTAATGAATTGGTCCTGTTTCTTTATTGAAGTACGTAACGTTATGAATCAAAGTAGGGGAGTGGGGGTTGTTTTTTTACATTTCCTACGAAAGTTTGACAGTTCGTTTGGTTTATGACGTTGTCTTCTCTCTAACAGTCTTGTTTAAAAGGCGCACACTACTCGCTCATTTTTCTTCTCACTCCTCCAAATTTTATTTTTCTCTTGTTTAAAAAGTAAAAGAAAATCTAATGCATCGAAATAAAAAGTAAGCAAATGTTCATTTTATAAAATTGTAGCTTTTCTTTGCGATATTTTCCGATCACCAAAAATGTCATATTTTCTGCTTCGTCTTGGCAAAATCATTCGGCCGAACACTACACATGAAAAATCAACATACTAACATACATACAAATGTGTGTAAATGAAGGAATAAACCAACCACCAACTGATGTGCTACTCGTAAAATCAGAGAATTGTACAAAAATGTTGTTTACAGAATCCCAATTTCTCTCTCGCTCTTAACATTTTGTATATAGTTACATAGAAATATATTTAACATTCGTGTTGGCAATACGAGTGATTTTTCTCTGTAGGAGTTGCCATAATAATATATATAGATTTGGTTTTTTTAATGTAGGGTCGCCGCAGTGTACTATTACTTTCTTTTTTAAATTAATGATAAAATACAAAATTCAGGTAACATTTATTTTAATTTATTATAGTCAATTCAAGAATAATAAACGTTCATAACGCAACTCTTATAGAAACCCTCGTCTATATTGGCAAATAACTAGGACACTCGATCTTCACTAGGTTCTTTTGAGGCGAATTTTTCATCAGCAAAATTTTCCTCCATATTCAGGAGCAAGTAGCAATCACTTGGTGTCAAGTCTGGACTTTAACGACCCAACCAAGTTCTCGGAGCTTCTGGAGAGTCATTATCAATGGGTGCGGTCTGTTCAGATAGAACACAATTCTTCTCCCATTGGCCGAAGATGGCCGCTTTTGGGCAATTGCTTCTTTCAAACAATCCAATTGTTGACAGTATATATTCGAATTAAAAGTTTAGTCGTAGGCGAGCAGTTCTTAGTAGATGATTTCTTGCTAACCCCACCATACACATAGCAAAACCATTCCGACCGTAAATACTGGATTGGCCTCAGTTTGCGCCGCTAAACCCCAATTCAATCACGAACGCTTTTGCATCACTTTATCGTAAAACACCCACTTTTCATCACCAATAGCCATGCATATCAGAAATGGATTGATTTTGTTTCGATTCACAGTTGGAAATTCGGTATGGCACATCGAACTACTTTTTGTAATCAGTCTTACCTTAGGCAATCGAAACAATGATTTCATGATGATCGGACCCAACGATTTTCATATCGATATTTTCGATAACTGACCTTTCAGGACATGGTGCATCTTTGACCTCAAAATTTTCGGAACAGAATCGACAAAATCTGTTACAGTATCAAGACCATAAGCATAGTTCACATTTGCAACCGCTTTTATAGCGGAAAATTCATCAAATATTGCCATAATTTCTCTTTGCTGGTGTTCACCTTTGACTCAACCTCAAACAATCCTGAGTCAAGTAATCGCAAAACTGTTAGAGAAGTTTTTTTTTTGGAATCTTATCTTTCTGCCGCTATATAGCGTAACATTATAGATTTCTTTCTACTAGACCTTATAATATAAATTCAGATAAGTTTACCAATAAATAATGCAAAATTTAAATAATTAATTCAACAGCAAGTTTAATACACTTAAAAATGTAAAACGCATAAAAACTTAAAATATTTTGTGAAGTGGCAACACTGATCAAGAAGAAGAGTAACAGATCGGAAAGTGCCTCCATCAGTTGTAATGAATTATGCAACGTATGTTACCGTTGGAATCTTTACGCAATATATACATACATACACAAATGCATATTTTGAATAATATATAAGGGAGCGCGGTCGTTGAATGAGCATGCCGAAATTTTTCCTGTACACATTTTGAACGCCGCCAACAGCAAAAGACCAAAGAAGAATGCTGTTTACATAGTGCTGTTAATTAAACACTATGAGCAAATGTAAGAATTTAACATTTTACATTTTCTAACAGATTTTAGACATAAATATACATACATGATATGTCCTAATAGAAATAATAAAATGCTAAAAACGTGAATGTTACGCAATTTACTTTCGAGTGTAAACATCACTTAAAATTTAAGGTGCTGCTAGATAAATTCTATCGGAAATAAATTGCAGAATTTGCTCTATTAATAGTTCGTAACATTAGTTGTGATCCTGTACCAATCGAAATGTGCCTTAAAATTCGTCAGTGAGCGTTACAATTCTCGAAAAAGATAATATTATATACATACATAGTTCAGAGAGTGGATATCATAATTTTGACAGCCCGTACAAGTTGAGGTTGTGGCTCATACAGAAGTAAGATAGAGCAAATGTCAAAATTTTAATTGGTTTGTGTGAATCAGGACAAGTTTTAAGCTTAGATTATCGGCAACACACTTATTATGTGTAATAGATTTATCCATATCTATGTGGCAAACATGAAGTGGTTAATACAGAGAAAGAGCAGATATATATATAAGGAGGACATAATACGATATTCTCTCATTTTTCTGAAAATTGAGTAACTGTTTTTAGGTTTTGAATATTGCTAACGTCAGCACATACTGTCACAGATGACAATGTTGAAAAATATTATAACACAGTACTTCTCTTGTTAGCGCTCTCTCTCTCTTTCGAAAAATTAGTATAATGTATTCGTTGCTTGTACGACCTGAAATTATGCCTGTAATTAGCTCAAAATTAGTTCTGTTGTTGGCAACTCGCACAGGACTTTACAGGTGCCTTGACTTTCAGTGTTTTAATCAGCTATTATTCCCTCTAGCTGAATATGCGCTGAAAACCGGAAATTCTTAAAAAGATAGTATATACTCGTGGTCTCGATTCCTTTTTTATGATTTATTATACCCACATACAGCTTAAAATTAATTAACGGTACTCAAATTCGTAAAATAATCTCAGCATAAGTAGTAATGAGTACTTTTCAAGCTCGAACTTCTCAATCTAATGAATCGTGTACTCAATACATTAGACAACCCTAGCCGAGAATACGCGGGGATCGCACTTAGACTGCTGTGCACAAGTCCTTCGTCAACCCAGATAAAAAAATTCCTGCAGTTGGAGGTCAAATCGCAACAAAGCGCCTTGAACATATCTCAAATCTGCTTAGGTCTTTAAGGTCTGTTTCACCTGGATGTCTAAAATTATGAGATTCCAGGTATTTTAGTTTTAATCTATCAAAAGCGGCACAACAATCAACCTGCATCATTATGTGACCCTTAAATAATTTTTCTTCTAAATCATAAAAAAATATGTTATGGATAAGAAAGGTTCTCAGTCCTATATACCTGAATAAGGCTCGTTCTGGATCTCTCGTATACACGAATGACTTACATTAGTATCTTCGGCTCCATCTCTTTCTCTCTGAGCGTTGCTCAATGCTCAAATCATAAAAATATACTCAGTTGACTCATACAATATTTAGAAGAGACCGACAGTAGTCCTTTCTTTTACACCTCACAAACCAACAAAAACATGAATATCCAACTCTCGCATATTAGTCCCATAAATATCTATACATATTGAACCACGAAGAGTGCAAGCAATAAGTTCGCAATCGGTTTCCAACAACTAACACAAAATGGCGTTCGCTTCTCGCATCTCTTTCTATTGCACACAAAATCACTGAAAAATTGCCAAACTTGGTATTTATCATGTCATCCAGAAAAACGAAGCTTCATTTTCATCTCACATAGCTCTCTCGCTGAGTATGCAATGTTCTCTTTCGGTTGCCGATTTTTCCTTCCTTCGTTTGCTCTGCTATCGCACAAGCAATCACACACCCTTGCACACACATACACACACGTACACAAGCAACTAAAACAAAAACCAAAAACTCTAGGTGGTCAACTTGCTAGCTGAATTTTTAAGTTGTGGCGCCCAGCAAAATAAATATTTCTAACATTTTGTGTTAATTCTACAACTTACCATTTCTGTATTAATTTCCGACGTCATTTTGTGCTACACATTTACGTCGCACTAAACTTTTTTAATGTAAATAAGGCATAGAATTCTGCCACAACTTGAATAAGCAAACGTTCAATATAACACGACAAAAGCAGACTGAAAAGCAAACAACAAAGAATTCGGTAATGTATGACAAAGAGCAAAAGCACGTAAACAGCTATTGGCGCGGAATGTATTTATGTATGTGGAGATTCCATTTAACAGAGATGTAAAAGTCTTAACAGCCTCATTTTCTCTGCAAATTTCCTGTCAGAGGAAAGGGCAATACGTTATTATATATTAGCACACTGTAAAAATTTGCATTAGTTATTTCACTTCTTTCTCAAATTATATTTTGATTACTAGTATTTTTTATAAACATTACAAAAATTATAATTTCTTACCATATAATAATTCTATGTTAACATTATATTCAAATACAGAAATCAAAAATTAGGAATTCACTTTAATTTCTTTCAGTGAGTTTGGGATATTCAATAATTTATCTCGGTTTTACTGACGAATAAAAGCGCTGCGATATAATCAGCTTGAAGATAATACACACAGCCATACAGGTGCCAGTCGGATCAAAAATAATAACGACCCAGAATTTTATACGTCTAAGAACTGTCTACTTGGCAGCATTCACCAAAATTATTAAACCCTTCACAAATAAAAAAGTTTTCCATACAAGAATTTGATTTTGATCGTTAAGTTTGAATGGCAGCTATATGCTATAGTGGTCCGATCTGAGCAATTTATTCGAAGCTTGAAACGTTGCCTTAGACAAGAATTCATGCCAAATTTCGTGAGGATATCTTGTCAAACAAAAAAGTTTTCAATACAAGAACTTGATTTTGATCAGACAGTTTGTATGACAGCTATATGCTTAAGTTGTCCAATATTTGCGGTTACTAAAAATGAGCAGCTTTATATGAATAAAAGCACATATGAAGATTTTCAGATCGGAATCACAAAATTGAGGGACTTTTTCGTATATATACCGACGGACATGGCTATATCGACTCAGCTCGGCGTACTGATCATTAATATATAAGATTATAGAGTCTCCGAGGTTTCCTTCTGGGTGTTACAAACTTTGTGGCACACTTCAAATACCCTGTTAAAGGTACTTGTATATAAGTTATTATAGATTTCCTTTGTCTTATAAAATATGATTATTCTGTAGAATTTTGACATTTTCCACGCACAATGAATTATTGAAAAATTTCAGCAATGAATTTTTGAACAATCCTCTTGTATATCAGTAGTAACATCTCTTTCATTTATTACTTATGATGTACTTAGTAGCTAAGTACGAGTATGCAATCAAGATAGCAATTTCGGAATTATATACTTATGTATTTTCTGTAATGTATAAACGAGTCGTTAATGCCGGCAAACTTGACCATTTAATTTTCTTATTACAATGAAGCAGGATAGATATATTAACGGTACTCATACTTTTATATTCGTAGATCAGCGCATCGCAAGCAGTCGAGATACAAGAATGAAAAAGAAAAACCAAAAATATCATAAGAGAAACACAGCAAAACGCTAAACAGAAAGTAAACTAACAGCGAAATGTTAATGGAAATGTAAAAATTCTTAGAGTGCACAAGTCGTAATTAATATTTATTTTTGTGCTCTACGAATATGTTGAAAAATATTTTATGATAATTTTCTGAAAAACAACCAACTTGTTTCGTCAAAATATGCTTACAATTCCTTGATAAATATTTATCAATGCTGCGCGCAAAAACAAAGTCGGAAGCCGTAAAGAAGCCCATTGAAAAACAGCTGATTTGGCGCCAATGTTACCACATGCAAGCGTGCACAGCAGCAGACGGTGTTATATTAATTCATTAAATTACAACCATTTCTTTTAGTTATGGAATAGTACAGTGATAATAAGTTAAATAAAATAAATTTTGACATGTTCAATATGCCGTTAATACGCCGTAGTCTGCAAAAAGTGCGCGGGATATATCAATTGGTGGCTAATCAAAGCAGAGCGAGTGTACCAAGATTTCCACGAGTTGCATCAGCTTGCTTTCATCTGAATCATGCAAGTGCCGCTAAAGTGTTTGTTGACAAAGAGAATAAACATGCACATGAAGTGTTGGTGCAATCACTGAAACCCTATCAAATCTTCCGCTTGGATGCAACCACACCACCAACAAACGAACCTGTTGCATCAGAACTGCCTGCATTGGTGTCAACTTCGGATCTGTCTCGTGTAACTTTTGAAGAAGTCTTTGACACATTCAACGCCTTGGCACATTATTGCATAAGGACAAACACCTGCATTTCTGACAGCCGTTTCGAACAATTCTGTCAATTTTTCTGTGAACAAACTCATAAACTCAGCGATGAGCAATTGCTATCCGCGTTACGACTACTATCCCAACTGCCAACAGAGGCATCGGTGCGTGAACCCAACTATATGCATTTGTGGAATAATTTGGATGTGGAGTGCTGCCGCCGCGTTGAGCGCTGGTCCAACGATGAGCTGCTATTGGTTTGTGATGCTTGGTACACATTGAATTTGGCGCGTGTTTGTGAATTTGTCTGGGAGGCATTACGTAAGCTGGGCCGCAAGTTACGACGCATGCAATCTGAACAGCTGGTGCAAGCCATGTTTTATTGCAATGTGCTCCGCCGACCTGTATTCGAAATGTTTGATTTTGAAGTGAATTTAGCACGTTTTGTTGACACAATGACACTACAGGAGTTGGGTGTAATGTCAATGGGTTTCTTCAAGACACAAACACCTATACGTAATCCTGAACTGTTGGATCACTTGTTCAAACGTCTGATAGCGGAAATACAAACAGTAGATGATATCACATTGGTGGCAATATTAAAAGTACTGCGTTATAGCAGTAAACTGCCACAAGTGCGACAGGTGATGGAGCTGATGGAAGTGTTACAAACACAAATATCTCGCATCTCATTAATGAGCTGCTTGCATGTTGCGCTTTTCGGTGTGGAGCTGCAGTGCTGTCATGATGGCGTTCTAGAGTTGGTACTACAACGTTTTAATCAAGACATCGAAAATGCACGCTTAAAAGATATGGAACGCATATGCTTGGCAATATCTGTGTTTAACTATCGCAGCCCAACAGGTGTGGAACAAGAGTTGTGTGCTAAAATTCTGTCTCTGCTTGAAACCAAAGTCGATGAAATCTTGAAATATCCGCGTTGTTTCGTCGCTTGCTTGTATTATTTGACTTTATGTGGTCATTCTAATGAAGAGATGATAACATCTGTGTTAGATAAGCGATTTGTAGATCTTGCTTATGGTAAAAATATGACCATCGGCCGTGAAATATTTAATTTAGACTCTTTTGTGAAAATAAATTTAAAGGCCTCTAACTATGAGGGCAATGAATTGCCCGAAAAACGGCGACGTTCCATGGGCAAAATGCTGACGCAGTATATACCTGAACGTAATCAAAAGTTTAGACTACATAAAACAGATCGCATTCTCTTAGAGATTAAGGAGGCTCTAGAGCGCATACTGCGCCCTAATACATTGAAACACATATTGCCACATTTCGAGCGGCCCGATGTCGTTGTTTGCTATAATAACACGCTGCGTCAGACAATACCACTTGCAGCTGACTGTCCGGAGGATTATAGCGGTAAATTATAGAATGTGACTGGCGTCGTAGCACTGCAAAGTTAATATTAATTATTTTTTTTTTATCCCCAGGCGCAATCTTGACACGCAATCTGCTGTTAGGTGAGTCAGAAAAAACGGATGTGGCCACCATTGCTGTTGTCATAGTTGGCTGGAACAATGTCGTAAAGGATAAACAAAGATTCACGGGATTATTTGAGATGAAACTGAAGCAATTGCGTATGCTAGGACATAAACCGATTTTGGTGAGTATTTTTTATACCCTGAACAGGGTATATTAGGTTTGCCACAAAGTTTATAACATAAAAGATCAACGTAATAAGGTGGGTCTATTTAGCAATGTCCGTCTGCCTGTTATTTGTCAAGAATTCGGTCACCAATATTCCAATGGATTATTTTCCAAGTCAATACTATAGTCTCCGAATAAATGTTTCCGATCGGACCACTATGGCATATAACGGCCATACAAACCGACTGAAGAAAATCAAGTTCTTGTATGGAAGCTTTTCTTTGTTTGTGAAGGTTATTCTAACTTCGCTGCAACCGAAGTTAACGAGTTGTTTTATAATTAATTCGTTTTGTTACTTTTTTCAAATTTTAGGTTAGGATTTTTTAAAAATAATTATCAACACATTTAAACTGCAAATTTTGTCGTTTTACGAATTTTAATTAGAACGTATGCATATTTATAGCACAAGAAGCTAATGTTTCATATTTACACATTCATTTATTTTTCATAATTTTTATTTTTTACAAAAATTATTCTAAATTGTTGTTTTACTTAAAATTAACAATCAATATTTCTTACACCTACTTAATTATTTGCAGATATATTGGCACGAATGGCGCGCTTTGGAGACCCCCACGGATCGTCAACAATTCTTGAAAAGAAAATTAGCCAATACAATAAATTTGTAACATTAAATGTACAAATAACCGTACTAATATTAGTTAGCAAATCATATACCTAAGGAACACAATGTAAAATCAAATGTTGAAAAGAACAAAAAACTATTATTTCTTGTTCGTCGGCACGCTTTTGGGATCGAATTTCTCGTGCAAAATTTTTTTCGTATATTCGTAAATTACGAATAGCGTCGCTGTCGCCGGTATCGTGCGTAACACAGACGGCAACAGACCATTGTAGAGTGCCAGTATGCCCTCCTTGCGGACAATGTCGAAACCCACCGTTAACATGCCGTGATCTAAATTCTGCACTTGTATGCGACTTTTGATAACATCGGCGGGGAAAATCATTGTCCACAGCATAACGCCGCCAACGGCGCCCGCAAACATGGTTCTAAGTGGACCAATATCGTCTTTCGTCTGACCGGGTCTGTAAATATAATTAAAAATTTTTTGACTGCCTAGCAATTAAGCGCTATAGTTAGAACTTACTTAGTTAGCAGCTCACGCGTTGCCTCATAACTGCCGAAGAAGAAGAAGTAGCCGGGCATTTCGCGCATAAACGTCGACGTGAGACCGCGGAAAAAGCCGGCCAAACCTAAATTTAAATGGAATATAGTAATTTTAAACAAAAACTACTTTATTTTATAAAAACTAACTCACCCTCTGCTTTGTAGATAATTTTTGTTAATTTCCAAGGCGTCATATGCTCGTTAGCTGGTATGCCAGGGCAACATTCATGCGACTGAAAATGTTAGAGAATGTTATAGAATTAAAAAAACCAACTTTTATATATATTTAACAGTTAATTTCACCAACCTCGCGTATCGCCTGCAATTTGCACTTCACCAACTCGGTGGGGCATAGCGTGAATGTCGAAAAGAACGCCGCAAAGAAGCCAGCAAATGCATTTTCCGTCGTGTTCAATTGGCTGTGGTTCTCTTTACCCACCAGATATGCCACAAAGGACTGACAACCGCCATAGGCCGCAAAAAGCACGGAGTTTTCAGCCACATTCGCTATAACGGCCGGCACACTGCCCGCGTAAAGACCACGAAATATGCCATCCTTCTTATAAGTGTTCACAAAACATTCAAACATGTTTTTGTAGAGAAAGGGAAATGTTTGCTGTTTCACTTTAACCGTGTCCAGCGGCTGTGAGACATACACCTGCGCGGCGCCACCTAGTGCAAATAAAAAAAACAAGAAATTTTATATTGTGCTATGAAAAAAGCTTTGCATGGAAATGAAGCACGGGTTCAATAGCCTCAAAATTGTTTTGCAAGTAACTACAACAACAATTACTGTTATATATGAATTTGATGATTAAGGTAGGTACTTTTAAGTTATTTAAACATTTTTAGCTTATATTTTGATTTTTGAAGTAATACAGTTTTAGGTTAGGTTCGCATTTTCGAAAAACAATCTGAAAATCATTAATAACAAATTAAATTTGCTCACTAACTACACCCTTTGCAGTTTGCCAAGTGACTTAATGGAATAAAAAATTCTTATCAAAATCAACTCTATTAGCTTCGCTCCGAGTGAGTTTAAACCCCCTTACGATAGCTCTCAGGCCTCAGTCTATTCTTCCGGTATTGTTGAATGACCACTCCAATTGTCTCAGAGGTCTATTTATGTGGCGCCAATGCTCTTTTTATTAAAGAAAATTTATTGTGGCTGAGCCTTTTATCTGGCACCTATATTTGCTGTAACAGCTTCTAAAGTCTTTTTTTTTTGTTTTTGAATGATGTTTGATATAATTGTGTTGTTCTTGTTGTAGTGACAGAAAATATATACTATATAATTTTGAGGGAGACTGGCGAGTAGACAATTCTTGAACGGATATAAATCCGGGTCCGTTTGATCTACATAAGTGCTATCCTCATTGGGCGTTCAGTTTAACATAAGGTTAAAGCGAATTTTTACGAATATTGCAATTAAAAAGGAAATATTTACTAAAAATGTAAAAGTGTTGATTCACATCAAATAAATTTTTATAACTTATATTTTTTTGTTTACTTCGTCAACAGTGTAGCCAACGTGATATTTATTAAAAAAAAAAATTGAGAGGAAATATTCTTTAATTATTTTAAAATAAGAAAATACGGTTGCCCCGAAAACAGAACACCCTTCATGCTTGATTTTTATATTGATATTGATCGCTCAGTTTATATGGCAGCTATATGCTATAGTGGTCCGATCTGAACATTTTATACGGAGATTATAACCTTGCCTTGGAAGATATATTGTCAAATAAAAAAGTTTCCCATACAAGAACTTGATTTTGATCGGTCAGTTAGTATCGCAGTTATATGCGTTAGCGGTTTGATATGGGCGATTCCGACAGCTTTTTGCGTAGAAAGGAACGTTTGCAAAATTTCAGATCGATATCTCAAAAACTGATTATACAGACGGACATGGCTAAATCGACTTAGCTCGTTATGCTGATCATTTATATATGTATTTTATAGGGACTCTAAACATTTTCTTTTGGGTTCTACCCAATATTTTGAATGGCAAAAACCCATCAGTGAGCTTCTCATTCTTATCTTCTCACGCAACTGGAACAAATACGGATTTATAACCAGCTAGAAATTGTTAACTCGGCGACATTCTACGAAAATGTTTGAAGAATAATTTTTAGCACTACAACAACAATAAGTTCTTATCAAAATATTTAAAAAAGAATAAAACTCTTCACTCAGCAACAAATTATGATTTCATTTAAATTTTTGCTTCATTCATTCATTAATTTTCAGCTTTATACACATACATAAATATATGCAAATGTGTTTACTGTCTACCATATTTCGTTTACATAGCAGCACATGGCGCATTGACAGCTTATGTATGTGTAAATATATATGTATGTACTCTGTCCATTTACTATGTGTAATGACATCCACTTACCCAACGAGCCCGCCACAAACTCAATCAATCGATTCTGCATGGCGCTTGGCGGCGGCGGCGGTAGTGGCTCCGGTTCCTTTCTCCACCAAAACAGATCCATTTGCTTCACTCACGCTTGCTGACAACACTGAGTTGATCATACACAAGTAAAAAAAGTGTTTTCTTCGACTTTATCTAATTATCAACACTACCGCCACGCAATAACACTTGGCGCCTCAAACTTTTCCACGCATCGACTTATCATTCAAAGGCGCGGAAGCAATTTTGGTCGTGTGCTGAAACTCTCGAGACCGCAACTGAGCGTCAAACGCGACACACACTACACTCTGGATTTGAGCGCTGATCTGCTGAGCGCGACTGCCACTTGGTGACTGTCACCGAAAACTGCTCAGGCGCCGAGCGTTCGTTGCTAGCGCGCACCGTTTCTACTGATCGATCGCTTATCAGCGTGAGCGCGAAACACAGAAGTTGACTTGGCCTTTGGCGAGAATTCGCGCGCTACAGCGCTCTCTTGTGTTGTTATATTCAATAATAGTATGCACAAAAAAATAATATTTTATGGTTGTGTTGTTGGTTTTCTCCAGCTTCAATGCTTCGGCAACAAATACTAATCGCTATTAAACTTTTTTTTAGCGTGTTTAGATTCTTGTCAGTTATTCAAGTAGCTATACTATTGTTTTCAATACTAATTTTCGAACTGATAAAAGCGTTGAAGTGAATTTCGTAGCGCTGATAAGCGAGCTCCATGGGAATTTATAATTGAACAGGAAATATTTATTTTTAGTTGTTAGCAAAAGTTTATTTTGAAATGTTTTGCTTGTTTCTGTTCATTGCCTTGCGACTGACAGTTTAAAATAAACGAAAAAAAATATGAAAACATAAACAGTTATGAATTTTTTCGAAGTAAATATAAAATTTTTTCTTTTTTTTAAAACTATTACGCTACAATATAGAGTAATCATTAATAATTATAATATTTAAAATTAAAAAAAATCCCCTTAACCTCATTTTCGATGAAAGATTTTTCGGCCTTCGTCTTTTTTTATTGTTTGAAAGTAACATCTGATCAAATTTGACTCGGACAAAATAAAACATTTTCACATATTTTAATAAAAATCTTTATTAACGGCAAGCATTGACGCTTAACCCAATTTTCCATATTCATAAACCCGCGTCTCGTCACCAGTAATCAAGCGTTTGATGAATGTAGGGTCCTTATACGTTGTAAAGCATCTCTTTTGCGACCCTTACTCGACGTCGTTTTTACAAAATATTATGCAAAATGGTTGAGTCGACCCATAAACGATGTCGAAATCCTATCTCTGATTTCTCTCAATCTGTAAACAACGAAGATAAAAAAGTTGGTACCAATTTAGAAAATTTTTCCTATCGATTCTCGAAAAGGTATCGTCTAATTAAACTTCTAATATAAGTGCTTTCTTATTACTTAGTTCTCCTTGATTTCCCCTACTACCACTTCAACAAACTTCGCCGAGTCCACGCTGGCTTCCAGTAAGATAGAGACAAGATTACAACTACTTACGTAACGAATTATCAAACTTTAATAGTAAGCTTAAGCTAAGTCTTTCACTTCTTTCATTAATGGCTTCACGAACAAATGTTTTTTGCTGTCAGACGCAAAATCACGAATCGTAACTTCTATTAACATTTTTGACGGCGCGCCAGTCATTTTTCCATTTCAAAAGTGGGCGTTAATTGAAAATACCAAGTGAGTTTAACTTTTTCTATAGTTGGTTTTTCTTAACTCTGAGGATGAGTCTTCTTAACTTAGTAAACTTAAACTTTTTTGTGGCTTGGGGATGTCCATATGTTACATGAGAAATTTTTCAGTATTTTTTGAGCGCTACGCCTCTCCTGGTGAGACTTCGTAAGATTTTTCCTTAACTTCTCCCTCTGCCCGAATATTACGTGAGACTTTTTTAAATTTATATTTTCACATGCACTACTTGAGGATTTTGGCTTACACATCTCACCTATAACAAATTTTGTCGCTGAAAAAGGCCCACACAAATAATGCGAAACACCCAAAATGTTTGCTCCATATTTAATTTAGGTTTATTAATTTTTGTATTTATTTATTTATACGCTTTATTTATTGTTTGTGGTATATAATGTATTAAATGTAATATTCATTTATATTTTATGTATATATATATATATATATTTATGTATTATATATATTTATATGTATTTTTATATTTATATGGTGTATTTTTGATAAGTAATTTACACGAAATGCTAACCATAAGATTCTTATATTTTCTAATTACGATACATAGTACTAAACTTCGCTAAATTATATATCTGTATATGTATGTGTATGTATGTATATATTATGTTTTTAAATGTATATGTGTGTAGGAATGTGTTTTCACGCATGCGTGCGTGTGTGTGTGTGCGTTTCTTAAGGTTGGGAGACATTCTTAAGTGACAAGTAAATACATTTACATACAAAATTAGCAGTACATAGCTTATTATATACTACATACAATGCACCAACAAATTCTAGGTGCATATCCGATCATCGCTCATTAACCGTTATGCGCTGCCAACGCAATATTTTTGTTTAATTTTTGTGGCTGCAGTCACAAATTATAGCAAAGTACATATTTTTATGTCTATATATAATTGTATGTACAATATTTTTAATTAATTATTATTTTTTTTTTAAATTTTGCCTTTGGAAGCAACGCTAATTTCTGGTTCTTATGTAGACATTTTTGTTTTTGTTTTTTGGTTTTTAATTTGTATACAGCTTGAGATTAATTTCCTGATGTGCGGTATTAATGTCTTTAATACTTATTTATTAATTTTAAAGTTTATATTTTATTAATTATTGTATGTTATTATTATTATAAATATTTTATTAATATTATTTAATAAATTTAAATAATTTTTATATAAATTATATATTTTTTTAATTTTTATTAATTAAATATATTTTTATTAATTATTTATTTCTTAATATTTATTAATTATTTTTTTTAAATTTTTATTAATTATTTTTTTTTAATATTTATTAATTTTTTTTTCAATTTTTATTGATACATTTTTTTTAATTTTTATTAATTAGTTTGTTTTTTTAAATTTTCATTAATTATTTCTTTTTTATTTTGATTCATGTTTTTTTTTAATTTTGTGTGTTTTTTGTTTTAATTTTTATTAATTAATTACTTTTTTTTCAATATTTATGAACTAGTTTATTTTTTTAGTTTTTAATACTAATGCTTTTTTAATTTAATTATTATTTTAATTTTGAATCGTTATTTATTATATATTTATTTATTTTTAATAGCTATAATGCCTTCCGTTGCCTTGTATTAAATAGTTAAGTTTTTTTCTATTTTTTTATACATTTCTCTTTTAACTTATACAATATGTGTAGTGGTTATATTGTTTGACGTACATATATGCATTTTTTATATATGAAATAGCAAACTTTTTACAGCTTATGTATTTTTTAAATCTTTTTTTTTTATATTGGAAGTACATGTACAAGCCGAATTCGCGATTAAATAAATTATATAACTATATATTTATTACAAAAAAAAAAAATTAATAAATTAGTAAAAATCCTAAAAATATGTTTTTGAAAAAAAAATTATAATATCGTTTCAAACTAATGAAATTAGTAAAAAAAATTCTAGAAAAAGTAAGCGCTAGGGTCAAGCGATAAATATTCAAATTTATCCAATCACACTCTTGTCACCATATTTTAACCCCACTCAAATGAAGTAAAAAATTTTGAATTCAGTGAATAAAAGAGGCTAAGCGTTTTTCGAAATCTTCTTGAAAATACCAATCTAAATCTATTATATGCTTATTTCAAAACTATCTAACATTGAAAATATGTTGAGTATAGTTTTGAGGTTAGATAGTGTGGAGCAATTTGGAAAATTATAACCAAAATTTCGAATTCAAATTTCAGAAATTCTAAAGGCTTTTTACTGAAGAAAATGTTCGCCTTTTCGAAAATATTGCTTTGCATATTGATATTCACAAAGTTTCGAAACCTCACATAATTTTGAAATTAAGAAGATTTTCGTATTAGCTGAGCATAAAGAAATGTGTTATGAATGTCGGATCGACGAAAATATATTTTGGAGATTTTCGAAATATAAAACTCTTAATTAATATGAACATCTGATTTCCGAATGTTTTTTATTTTTTAGAATTTTTGAAATAACATATTCCTTAAAATAATTTTTCAAATTGCAAGCATGTATAATGTTTTGATTTTCGGAATATTGAAAATATGGTGTAGAGATTTTCTAAATTTCGAAGTTCACCGAAGTCGAAAAATTGGATCTCGAGCTTTATAATATACTTTCATATTATTTTTTTTAAAGAAAATATTACTGTAATTAAATGTATTGTTTAAATAAAAATAAATAAAAAACTGTGACCATGAGTGATCAATGCGCTGATAAAACTTGAAAAAAAAAGAAAATCGCGTGAGCATAAATCTAAGTTTTTTACTTTTTGCTCTCTCTTGCTCTTGCTTCCATGCTTGCATTGTTTAGCGTTAGCTTTCGCTTTCTACTTTCTTATATGTTTTGTTCTTTGATGTTTGTACTTGTAATCTTACGCTAATCATGCTTATACAGGGTGTAAAAATAGCGTCGAATCTGCGTTACAGTATTTCTTTACTCAATATTTTCTTATTTTTCTCATTTTTTTTTGTGAATAATTTTATACGGTTATTTGAGATATATTCAGTGATTTTTACAGACAAGCTTTCGCTGCTTAGCATTTCTTAGCAAGAAATTTAGCAAAATCGTTGCGGATCTCAGTTTTTTATAACCTCAGTTTCAAATTGCATATTTTTCAATTATTTTATTTATATTTTTAAGGTTATGTATTACAATTTCATCAATATAAAATACAATTGATAATGTCTGTGGAGTAGTTTAGGGTATGACGTTGGTCTCTGCTAAGATTTTTAATTTGCAAAAATTGTTTTTCAATTTTGTATGGTTACAGTTATGTATATATTTATGTATGTGTATGTATAATATTTTTTTTGTTAATTTTTAAATATTTTTTTTTTTAATTTTTGAGTGTTTTGTTTTTAATTTTTATTTATTTCTTTTTTATACAGCTAAGCTTACTTTGCTAAAAACATATTTTTTTTATTATAATTTTTTTAATTTAAATATTGGCACATAGTATTTTATTTATATATTTATATACTTTTTTTATTTTATGTTAATTATTTTTTGTAATAATTTACTTTGAAATTCATTAAATATAGTAGAGTTCTAATAATAATACCTCAAAGGGAAAGGAACAAACACATTTATTAGTTGCTTCTAGACATTACAATACATACATAAGCAGTACATTAATACATAACTATGCAGTTGGTAAATAAAGTAATAAATAAATACATATTCTTGAAAATATATATACTCTTCAATATATTATATATAATTATATATAACCGCCTCAAATGGGCATAATTACATACATTTACAGCTATTTACTTAGGGTAGAGATTTTTTGGTATATTTTATGCTTCTTAGTCTTCTTAAAAAAAGTTTGAAGGGGGCAAAAAATAGTCCAACTGAGAATAAAGTGTTTATTTATTAAACATTATTGCATTTGATTTTCATTTCACATCCTAAATGTATGCCGCAGATTTCGAAATTTTTCTTTCGCACAACTCATCCTAAATGTACACTAAAAATGCTCCTCATCCTAAATGTATGCTACCAATATGAAAAATATGTTTTTTTAACCATCCTAAATGTATGCTTCTAATTTTAAAAAAAATATTTCAAAGTATAATCATCAGTAGAATAACAGAAAGCAGTTCTAGAAGTTTTATATCAATAGATTGGAAAAAATCACAATAAGTTTGTAACGTCAGAAAAGTAACTTGACAATTCAGGAAATTAACCTTAAAAAATTTGCGAGTGCTTTTGCGCCTCGCCCAAGCAATTAAGGATAGCTGGAGTGAATTTACTTGTTACTAAGCAACTTTCCTGGTTGCATATCCATTAAAAATTACCTAAACCTGACAGCGCTACCAGTTTTCCACAGAAAAAAGTTTTTTTTTGAAAAGTAGCTGAATTGTTTATTTTTACACTAAATAATTGCACGTTTAATATAAAGAAGCAAAACTAAAATAATAAAAATAATAAAAAAAGCTTTTAGTAGTATATAAATTACTTACATTAAATTCTGTTTATATATGGTTTACTCAATAAATATTTTTACATCAATATTTTTAAGTAAATTAGCATATTTTTAAGTAGCTACAACTTTTTTAAAGAATTGTTTTCGTCCTTTTACGACTCAACTAACTTTTGCGCCCATAAACGCATCGAAAGCTTTTTTTTATAATTTTTTCTCATATATACCTATAAGATACCTTTTTTTTAATATTACTTTACAAAGACTTCACGATGAAGTCTTAAATTTAGTAGGCCAACTAGCGGCGAAACCAATATCATATTCTTTCTTGCCGAAAAATGTTGTTTTTACCATCTAACAGAAATGTAGTGTCAATTCGAAGTGTGGTGTGTTCAAAATCGGTCTTGTGGTACCGAAGTAGGAAGTGTAATAATAAATATCAAAGTCTATATTTTTAAAACAATTCAACAGTGCATACAATTCATGGAATATATGTATAAAATTAGCCTAGCACTAGCATTAAGAACTAGTATGCCCTGACTCCGTAAATCCAATGTAAATCTACCTTTGAAAGTTTCCAATCTTATCCAAACCTTTCGAAGCTAGACAAACTATTCGAAAGATGGGATATACTTCCTGCTGCTAAGATTCTCTATATGGCACGAAGGGTTCTTAAAAATGCGATGTTATTATAATCCTTTTGGTTGGATATTTAATGATGAAGCAAAATTCATATAACCATAACTTCTCGGGAATTTCAACACTTTTGACTGTATATGAAGAGCTGACAGCGCGATCCTACAAAGCTTTATGCACTCAGAATTTATTATATCAGCAGTACTCTCTAATAATTTGTTGATTTATTGCCGAAGAAGACTCTCTCAATGTGCAAAAATCTACCCGAAACTCTCAACATATATTGTTGTTAAGAAGAAAGTTGATCGAAGTTTCTGGATGGCATAGATGATTGGATAATAAAGGCAAGAGCATCCACAGAATCAGTTTCAGAAACATATATTATACTGTGAGAA